TAATTTTTATCTTAATTTACTTTCTCTTCCGAAAGAACCCCCTTCAGCAATTCATATAATTCTGATTTGGTGGTGATGAACTCCTTTAGCTTTTTTTTTATTAGTGAAGCTCTTTATCTGGCCTTCGATTCTGAGTGATAGCTTTGCTGGGTAGATTATCTTTGGCTGTAGTGTCTTACTATTCATCACCTTGAATATTTCTTGCCATTCCCATCTGGCCTGCATGTTTTCTGTTGAGAAATCAACTGATAATCGTATAACTACTTGCTTTGCTCTTGCTGCTTTTAATATTCTCTCTTTGTCTTTTGCTCTTGAAATTTTAATTATGATTTGTCTTGGTGTGGTCCTCTTTGGATTCCTTTTGTTGGAGTTCTTGCGCTTCCTGGACTTGTAAGTCTAATTCTTTCACCAGGTGGGGGAAGTTTTCTGTCACTATTTCTTTCAGTATGTTTTCGATATCTTGCTCTCTCTCATCTTCTGGGACCCCCATAATTCTGATGTTGGTTTGCTTGAAGTTGTCCCAGAGGTTTCTTACATTATCTTCAATTTTCTGGATTCTCTTGCCTTCTAGCTTTTGCGGAGGAGTGTCTTCTGGCTCTTTATGTTCCAAATCTTTGACTTGATTCTTGCGATCTTCCATTCTGTTTTTAGGACTCTGTATAATATTTTTTCAGACAATGTATTCTTTATTTCTTGTTGATCCCTTATCATTTCTTGTTGATTCCTTATTAATTCTAGTTGATCCCTTTTCATATCCTCATAGGTCTTATCGATCTTTTCTAGGAAATTCTTGAAAAACCTTATAAGCGTAGATTTGAACTCTATATCCAGTCGCTTTTTGTCCTCCTTTTCTTTCGTTTGTGATCTATTTTGTCTTGGCATTTTCGCAGCTTCCCTGATGGGGCGAGGTTTCAGGGTGGGGCCTACAGCTTTGGCTTTGGTCAGCCCTGCCCTATGCGGCTCCTGAGTCTCAGGGTCCTTCAGTACTCGTTGCAAGTGTCTCTGAGAGAAAGGTGCCCTCGATTTCGCCTGCTACCAAACAGTCTATGCTCTTCCCCAATGAGCCCGGTATTGGGGTTCAGTTCAGTTGGAAGTGGAGTTGGAGGTGGCGTTCAGAACAGTGTGGAGCCCGTCTCCTTCCCGCCAGGGCAATCCCGCGGCACAGCCAACAGTCCCTTCTCTGTGCGCAATGTGCGCACCTCCAGGACCTCCTTTCGCCGCTCCCCCGGGATTCCGCCTTACAGCTCAGCTCCCTCTGTTTGAGCCTGGGTCCCCAGGGTCTGGCCTAGAACTGGGGTTCAGAGCAGTCGGAACTGGGGCCCAGCACAGTCGGAGCTTTTATCTCCTTCCTGCTAGAGAACGCCAGCCAGGCACTCAGCCTCCCTCCTCTCCGGCTCCATCCTCTCCGTGCGCCGCGTATCTCCGTACCTTGGGCTTTTACAGCTCCTCTGCTCTTCCTTCTGGTTTTCTCCTTGCTTCTCGTTGTAGAATTTCCAGTCAGTCGACTTTCCTGTAGCTCTGGGTAATGTCCATTTTATATTTTAGTTGTATTTTATTGAAAGTGTTGTGTGCGGCTGCAGCTAGGTGTTTACCTGTGCAGCCATCTTTGATTCTCCTCAATGAAAATATAGTTTAAAAAGGGGGTAATTCATTCCTATATTCAGTTACAAAGATAATCTGAATAAACGTGTCAGATCACTTTGAAAACGATCATTTATTAAGTATACCCTTAAAAATAAGACATGATTCTAGCTTATAAACCAAGGAATGCTGACAAGAGCTCCCTCCTGTAATGCAAAAAGGGCACACCCACCATGCTCCTCTCTCCCCTGTCTCCCTCTTCTAACTGAAATGGCTCACAAGACAACTCACCTGAGAAACTTCACTCAAATCCTTCAGAGTGACTATTTCCCCCTTGCACCATTGTGTTCACTTCCTTGTGAGCGTCTTTCTCTCACCTTGGATTGAAACTGTCAAGTCCAACTGGTCTCTGGACAATGTTTGGAACACAGAGGACCATCACCAAATGCTGAGGGTGGATGACCAGCCTGGAGCGGGTCTGGGGAACCAGCGAGGCAGGACAGGGCTGTCAGTGACTCCTACCCGAGCCGGTGTCCCAGTAGTGGTGAGGTGGAGGCTGGAAACTACATATGCATGTGGCCCACAGAGGCAGTTTGGGGAACTGTCATCATAAGTGATCTTGACCTTCAAAAGCACCTTTTCCCGGAAGAACCTTTGGCTACTTATAATGAATGACTGCAGCATTTCTCATTTTAAAAAGAAAGTTATCTCCTAATCTTTGGCCTTTTGTGGCAAAGAAACATGGGAAAGCTCAGAAAAGGTCCTACTTTAGACAGATTCTTAAAAAAAAATTAGAAACAAAGCCACTGAGTTTAGCTCATAATGTATAAAAATAACTCATGATGTCATCTCCAATTTGGGCAAAATTCTTTATCATAAATATTCAATATGTGCAGCCAGAATCCTATATAATAAAGAGCTAATATGCTAATGGTGGTGTCGCCCTCATGCCATAACGGCCATTCAGCAGGAGGCTGCGTGCACAGCAGGGCGGAGCTGCCCTGTTGCTCCAGAGATGGGGTGGAAGGGGGAGGCACCGGGAGGAGGCGGGACCATCCCATGTGGGGAGGGCCGGGGTAAGAGCCCATAGCACCCCCCTCACCAGTCCTTCACCACCCACAGCTCACACTCAGCGCGCCTGCCGCCCATCTGCCAGGGGAAGGAGAGCGGCGCTGGAAACTCTGCAGCAGGCAGGAGGCTTCCACCTCTCCTCTGGTGCCGCGACAGGGCGGAGCCATCATGTTGCTCTGGAGAAGGGGCGGGAGTGGGGACATGCCTGGAGGAGGCAGGACCAGCCCGAGGTGACTTGTGGGACCAAGGGGTGGGGCCTGAAGCAACTGGAGAAGGCTGGAGGGATTGGGGGCAGGGCCAAGTGCACTTGAGCTCTGGGTGGAGAGGTGGGGTGTCAAAGTGGGGTGGTGGGCAGGGCGCATGTGGATGGGCGGGGCCACTCGATTTCAGGTGCTGGGTTACTACCGTGTTTCCCCGAAAATAAGACATCCTCCGAAAATAAGACCTCGTGCATGGAAAGATAAGACATCCCCTGAAAATAAGACCTAGTGCAACTTTGGGAGAAAAAAATAATATAAGACACTGTCTTATTTTCGGGGAAACAGGGTAGTATGAGATAAAAGTGAAAACCCAGAGCTAAGAAGCTTTCAGGGTAGGATCTTAAATAAGAAAAATATATTATCATCAGATTTCTTAAAGGTCTTATAGCATGATGTGTGAGAATTTCCTAATGAAGCTACAGAAATTTTTTACCAAGAGAAATGTAAAAAAGGCAGTAATAGGGAATTGGTCAAATAGGTCATAGTAAATCCCTAGAAAGGAATATTCTGTAACCAGTAAAATGATGTTGTAGAAGATTATTTTATCAACTCTGTTCAATGGAAAAGCTGTAGTATAGTATATAAGATATAAGTTCATAAAAATAAAACATATGTAGCCTGGCTGGCATGACTCAGTGATTGAGCGTCGATCTGTGAACCATGATTCCTGGTCAGGGCACATGCCCAGGTTGTGGGCTCGATCCCCAGTGTGGGATGTGCAGGAGACAATTGATCAATGATTCTCTCTTATCATTGATATTTATATATATGTATCTCTCTCCCTCTTCCTTCCTCTCTGAAATAAATAAAAAATATATAAAAGATAAAATGTAGATAACCTTTGGTAAGTTCTTCCTACAAAGTAGGCTAAAAACAGGGCAAACAACGAAACAATAATAGGGGCAGGAGTAGAAGAGGAAAGGGTCTCACATTAATTGACATAGATGCTTTTCACATGGCATCACGCTTAACTATTTAATCCTCAAATCCAATCCTAGGTGGAGGCTTTATCACCCTCACTTGAATATGGAGAAACCTGTGGCTCAGAGAGGTGAAAGAGCCAACCCAGGACCACACAGCTATCAGTGGTACCTGTAGGACTGGAGCCCAGGTCAGCCTGACTCCAAAGTTGGGACTCTTCCCATTATAAAACATTCTTTAATGCAACGCCAGAATTTCTAATGTAGTCTATAAGAAAGCTTTTAAGAAAATGCTGCCGAAGCTGGTTTGGCTCAGTGGTAGAGCGTCGGTCTGAGGACTGAAGGGTCCCAGGTTTGATTCCGGTCAAGAGCATGTACATTGGTTGCAGGCACATCACCGGTAGGGGGTGTGCAAGAGGCAGCTGGTCGATGTTTCTCTCTCATCGACGTTTCTAGCTCTCTCTCTCTCCCTTCCTCTCTGTAAAAAATCAAAAATATAAAAAAACAAAGAACCATTAACCTGTTAACCGAGCAGGACGTATAATATTAATACGTCAAACGTAAACAATATCGGGAATGGGTAGGACGTATGAATATGTCCTGGAAATATATGTTGAGCCCTGAGAGGGACGGTATATATTTTTTGTAATCTTTATAATTGTTTGTGAAATTTATAATTTTTTAATTCGATGTTTCCATTTTTTTGTTGGTATTCTTTTCTATTTTTTTTGTAATTTTGTATTTTCCTTTGTGCTTTATATATAAATAAATGAAAAAATATATATATATCATTTATTTTAATTAAGTATAAATAAAAAATAATAATATGAAATTACATCCTCCAAGAGTGACGTACTGACACGTCCTAGTGAAAGAGCACGCGCCCATTACAGGTTGTGTAATTGAAAAGGGAACTCCCCGGTTAACAGGTTAAAAAAAAATGCTAACTACCACAGAGTGTTAGGCTTAGTAAGGAACCTTGTGACAAAGGAAATAGGACAGAATCCAGGTCGTGAAATTCTATTCTCTAACAGAACACTGGCTGGCTCCTAAAATTCTCATGGTTCATCTCTGACACACTGCGCAGGGTTCTTTTCTCCAGCTGCTTGGACTGTTGGTGCCTTTTCTGTTTTCTGGCAAAACTGCTTGGGTCTCCAGCTCACGCATGCTAATGAATGCCACAAAATGCAGAGGTCAAGAAAACAGCCCTACATCAAATAAATACATTTGAAAGGATCTTGAATTCATTTCCTTTTCCCAATGATGTGATGACTCCCCTTTAATGTCTCAGATACTAACAACAAGGGCAGAAATACCAATGAACATTTGAAAAAGATCTTTCCAAAGTGGCTTTCACCCAACAGCATCTTCCGAAGGGATGTCTGTTAGTATCACTACCTTTTGTGAAGGCTGTGAAGAGGAAGGTGACCTGCAACAACTCCGAAGCAGAAGAGGAAGGACTGTCTATGTTGTCTGCAACAATGCAGTCCCAACTCTCATCCTTCAACCGGCTGCTCTATCATCGTTAAACCTAAGTTCTTAGGGCTCATCCCAGACCAGTCACCAACTTAGAAGCTCTGAGGGTGGGACCTGGGAATGCTACATTTAATAACATCCCCAGTGGTGTAGATGAGAAGCTGCTCTCAAAACTGCTGCTAAGAAGTAGGTCATAAAAGGGGGATCACTCTAGACCTTGACAGCATCCCTGGGGCACATCAGGGCTTGTCAGGACAGAAAGATGGAGAAACAGGTGAACTGATCACCCAGAGGACAAGCAACTGCACACACAGCTGCATGGAAAGTCTGTCCCTTTGTTCCTGGACCTTCAGTTCTGTCCCTTGGAGAGAGCACACTTACTTGGTCAAGACGATGGAGACTGCATCGTTGAGAATACTCTCTCCAAAAACCAGCATGTTGAGCACTGGGTCTATGTGGAGTGCATTGAAAATGGCAATAGTAGCCACTGGATCGACGGCAGAAATTAGGGAGCCAAATGCAAAACTGTAAAGAAGAGAACAGAAAGGGCAAACTCTGAAACACTCATCACTTGGTCCACCTGTTAAAGCATTAAAGCCGGGTAGTGTATCTGATATAACAAATACGCTATCGCTGAAGTAATGACAGAGGATGCGCTCCTTTTCCCTGTGCTATCTGTGAACTGACAGTGTGGATGGAGCAGAGAAGTGCCCACTCTAAGAGTTGTTAGGAATGGCCTGGTTTCCCACTATATGTATTAACACTTTGACCAGTGATGGATGGAAGACTTTTGCTTAAACGCATTAAAGTTCCCGGACTTTTTGGTCAGAGCAGTTGGAACCATGATAGCTCCCCCAAATGACCCACGGGCTCCTGGGTCTGACCTCTGTTTTGCCTCTTGCCACCAACTGTGACCAACCCCAACCTCCACTCATATTTGTAACATCTAAAAAAATTGCCAAGAGCTGAAACCGGTTTAGCTCAATGGATAGAGCATCAGCTTGGGGACTGAAGGGACCCGGGTTCGATTCTGGTCAAGAGCACGTACCTTGGTTGTGGGCATATCCCCGGTAGGGAGTGTGCCAAGAGGCAACTGATCGATGACTCTCTCTCATCGATGTTTCTAACTCTCTATCTCTCTCCCTTCCTCTCTGTACAAAATCAATAAAATTTATTTTTTAAAAAAATGCTAAGAGCCAGCAGCAATTCTAGGTGCTCCAGAGGATGCGTGGCTTGACTGGCAGGCACTGGCCCCAGTGCTGCCTCCCACCAGGCCAGCGGCTCTCATTGACAGGACCCATGAAGGTCTCGTTTCCTCCAACAAGTATGTATGAATGGTCAAATGTCATTCAGGCACTGAAGGTAATAATAGCAGCAAACCTTGCACTTACCATGTCCCAGGCACTTAGGCACTTTACATATAGTAACTCAGTAATTCGCCATGTGAGATGGCTCTATTACTGCCCCAATCACATAGGAGAAAACTGAGGGACCATGAGGTTAAGGAACTGGTCCCAAGGTGGATCAGTGAACAAGGATCAAACACAGGGTATCTGGCTCCGAGTGGCTGCCCCTAGCCACACCACTAGATAGAGAAATATCCAGAGACAGACCAATTCAGAAACGGCATGTTTTACACAGGAAACCAGGGTAATGAGAGAAGAGAACCTGGCAGGGGCCGGGAGTGGGGGGACAGTTAGACTGGATGGTCAGGAAAGGCCTCTGAAGAAATGACTTATCTGAACAAGGACCTGAGCAAGAAGGAGATGGCGAGGCCAAGATCTGGGGCAGTGGCAACAGCAAGCTACCTCTGAAGTGGGACTCACTTGGTTGCCTGAGAAACATAAAGGCAAGCGTGGCAGCCGTACAGTGAGGGTGAGGGTGAGGGTGAGTGACAGGAGATGGTAGAGGGTGGCCAGGGAGATCACCCCATGGGGCCTCGTGGGCCACCTGAGGAGGCTGGGTGACTCGTTCTCTCAGCAGTTTGTCTGTTTTCTGCCTCAGTGCTCCTGAAGCCTCCTATTGGCTCACACTGCTATGCCCGGCACTGCCTTCTTTCTACTCCAGCAGAATGGTCAGCCTGCTCCTTCTGTAACAGGCAAAACACACAGCCCCAACGTGACAGCCCTGCGTGAGGGATGTGAGCCAGAGACTGTCCACCTCTCCTTCCCCCTCACCAGCCTGCAGTCTGGGAGGGACGAGGTAGCCACACGGCTCTGACCACTCCACCATCAGCAGCAACCCTCACTGGTCACTGGACTCAGGCTCAGGGAGAGGCGTGCTGGCGGGTGCTTTCCCAGTTACAGTTCTGATTTCCTGGGTGCTCCCTGTGAGTTTGACTCAGGTGAATTCTATCAGGAGAGCCTGCTCACCTCAAGGAGAGCCTCTGGATGCCAAGCTGAGGGCCAGACCCAAAAGGTGGGCTCAGCTCAGAGCTAGTTCCCAGACTTTCTGTCCTCACAGAAGCTGTCACATGTCTTATGAGCTGGGACCTTACCTGTCTCTCGCCTTCAGTGAGTGCCAGGGTGAGTACTGTGTTTAGTCATGGGTATATTCCCAGGAGTGGTACTGAGCATGGCCAAGAGAGGTTTGTGGAGAGTGGGTGGGAGGGAGGGATAAGTAATGCCACCAAACAACTGCCCTGTCTGGTTGGCAGCTGGCCTTGAAGCCCTTGTGCTGCAAACCAGGCTCAGACCTTCTCATCTTTCTTCTTCTATCCCCATTTTCATCACCCTTGCTGACATCGCAGGGGCCTTGAAGGAAGAATGTCTAAAAAGTGTATTCTGAAGTGGTGGGTGCGGGGGGGGGAGTTTGGGAGCCTCTGGTGGGTTGTGTGCCGTGTGCTGACTTTGCTAGGCTCAGCTGGCCCCTCCCTCCACCCTTTAGTGTCATGCAGCAGAGCAGACGGGCATGGCTCTTCCTCCTGAATGCCCACGCACCCTGGTTTAGGTAATAGCACCCCAATTTTCCTTTGGGGAGCCAACTCCCCTACTCTCCCTTCATTCATGTAGTTGCGCTGGGCATCTAGGAGTGGATAGGGGATCCAGGCTTGGTGAACAAGGGCCATCACCAGGCATTTTACCACGTCATGGGGAATTAGGTTGGCCCTTTGGCAGGGATAGCTGAAGGGTGATGTGAGCCCAGAGCCATCAGTGTAGCCACATGGAGTAAATGTGCCCAAGGATAAAGTGGATCAGGGACTAGCTGAGCTGAGACAGCAGAGAAGAGATTCCTGACATTTTGATGGTCTTGTGGGTGTCCACTGTATAATGTCCACCTTAGCTGTATGTTCATAATAAAGGATTGGGGGAAATGCTTTGAATAAATTATGTAACACATTTAGCTTTGGTTGGGAATCTAAATTGGGGCAGGACTTTCCGACAGTGACTATGAAAAGTCTGAACTATGAACTGCCTGAGTCATCAAGAGGCCTGAATCTAAGGGGTCATGTGACCTTGCTATCAGTTACTCCATTTCACATCTTCATGACCCAGTTTTTTAAAAAGATCAGAAGCTAGAAGTTCAACTAAAAGTGTGTTTTCTTGATTCCATCAATTCAAAGGATAGCAACATCAAAAACCCAAAAAGGAAATCGTCTAGGATGGTGAAATAATTCAGGGTGCATTGAAGAGTAAAGTATCTCTCCAGCAGAAATATCACTAAAATAGAGTTTAACAAAGTTTTAGGTTTAATATTTTCTCTAGTGCAGAGGTCTGTGGGCCCCATGTTTGACTCTCATGGTATTTTAAAGAAACGAATAAATTGTCAACATTTGAAAAGCAGAAAATTTCCTATTAATATCTAAAAGTCTGGCCTCTTTTGAAAAAAAACTTTAAAAATATTTTTTTTATTGATTTCAGAGAGGAAGGGAGAGGGGGAGAGAGGTAGAAAGATCAATGATGAGAGAGAAACATTGATTGGCTGTCTCCTGCATGCCCAATACTGGGGACTGAGCCTGCAACCCCAGCATACGCCCTAACTGGGAATTGAACCGTGACCTCCTACTTCATAGGACGATGCCCAAAGAGAGCTACACCAGCAGGGTGAAAACAATTTTGTAATATCTAGTAACTCTGGGCCCATAATGGTGATTATTAAGAGGAGCTGAGAAGTGGCTGTTCCTTTCAGACAAGGGCATGCTCTCTGGTTCCCCGTCGCCACCTCGCCAGCTTCCCCTGTGGCATGCTCTGCCAGGCCCTGCAGCCATGTGGGTCTGCAACTGTGGCTAACTTTTCCAGAACACTCCCCAGCGGTGGGACAGTCACTTTCCACAGGAAACAAAGTGTCTGCACCCAGAGGAAGAAACTCTACCTGGCTGTTATTCTGCTTGTCTAAGGAACAATTCTCTTACTCCTCTCCCCTGCCCATCCCAATCATCTGCCCAATTCAATTTTATGAGAATTTACCAATAATTTTCTGTGTCTCTAACCAGTTGCCCCCAAACAGGTTGAAGGACAGAACACTGGACCTCTTCCTTTATTTGGATTGGACTTGGGGCATTTCATTTTGCTGGCAACATACCTATAAAATGCAGGGCACCAGTTCTGTTTTATTTCCAGTTCTTTATGGAACAGGAATGTGACTTTTGCTACTTGTTTGTATATCAAAACTATCCTACAACCAAAGCTCTAAAATGTATGCCCCTGGGAGAAAAGAGATTGGACTTAATGTTCTCAGAGGCACACTGCCCATGAAAAGGGCTCCGAGATTCTAGTCCCCAAGGTGCTGCTAAAGGCTGAGAGCTCTGGCTGACCGGATGGAGGGCCTCGGGCTGAGAGCTCCCGCTTCCGAGCTCCGCAGCTGTGCCACAGGACAGACCAAGTGCTGTGGATGCAGAAACAGCGCAGGGCTGCATCCTCACTGGACTTTCAGAGCGGGGAAACCAAGCTGAACTCTGCTTGTGCACTTTTTCAGCACTAGATCTGGCACCATCTGAGAGACAGCTGCCTAGGTGGCCTCTTGCTAAGCTAATAATGGAAATTCCTGGACTGGGCTCCGAGGCAGCAGCTCTGAGAGCTCACTGGAGTAATTTCAGAAGGAGGAGGACATGCGCAATAGAGCCCTTAGCCCCATCTGCTCCCCCAATGGACACCCACCCAATTTAATGGAAATTCAGAGCAAAAAGATTAACACCTCACTCCCCACTTCATCCCTAATAAATCAAAAAGAAGACAACTTCTATTGTGGCCATTGAAAAGATATAAATCCAGGTGAAGAGCATTCTTAACAATAAACAGCGGTGCAGCATGTGGTGTGTGTGTGTGTGGAGGGCAGTTAACTCATGAGTTATTCCTTCCAGAGCTCAAACTAAATTAATCGTTTCAATCAGCAATGTTCTGACTAGGGATCTTCAAAATTTCCTCGATTATTTTTGATTAATTCCAGGGACCCGAATTAATTATGAATAGATTCTACAGAGAAATCATCAGCAAAACAAAGAGAGAAAAAGAACAGAGAGGTACCACACCCAGGAAGTAATATGGAGAGCACTTTTCAAAAGTAGTCACACAGTGTTAGAGTATGAAAGATTTACCTGTCTGTCATGTTGAGTTTAGAGATTACATCAGCCTGTAAAATAAAGCACACAAACACACAGACACAAAAAAAATCCCCTGGAGAACAGCCAAGAAGATTAAAATGTCCATTAGTGCTTTATCAGAAGTGGATAAGGACATTCATCTTCAGTCCTCAAACCACTTGAACATTTTTAAAAAGTCCCAAGTTTTAGTTCAGACATGCACCCGATTATCATACAACAGAAGTATGGCAAAGAATGCTACGTTTTTCAAGCCAAATTCAGTACAGTTTTCTTCTCTAAGTTCATTACCATTTGGTACTAGAAGCTGGGCAATGAAGAAGGTTGCAGGACAGACATTTATTCTGGTGCCACTGAGGCAGCAGTGAAGGTGAAATCGGATGGAATGGGCTTTAGCCTATAGCCATCAGAGGAAACAAGCACATCTGATACAAATACAGCTGTTGCCCAGCTGACTGAACCTTGAACTTTACAGAACCGGGGCAGGTAAACTTCCTGCCACCGACCATGAAAGAGAAGAACTGACCTGCACAAATGTGCATAATGCAAAACCACAGATACTACCTTCCTCAATGGGTCTGATTTGAATGAATTCAAATAATTTGAACCCCAAACACCCAATTGATGATACTGGGAACTGGTTTAGCAGAGGTGGAAAATCCAGAGTGTATAACTCTACAGATGGATGAGTTAGAATCGAGTGAACATATTCAGAATCATCTGTAATTTTTGAAACACAAATATACCTAACAACACAACTGATATTGTTATAATCTGAAGATCTTGGTGGTATCTAGTCTGCTTTATTTTTAGGAATTCCAAAGGAAGACAATATTGGTTTGCTAGTGAGAGCAAACAAATACTTTTGAGGATTGTGGGAAAAATTCACTCAACTTCAGACATTGAGGACACTGAGTTGAAACAGTTTAACATGACTTTACTGTGCCTCAGATAAGTCTGGATTTCCCTCCAGTGGAGGAGCATTTACCTCGAATGTGAAACCCAGGCCCCATGAGGTGTTTAGCCCACCTCCCTGCACTAGCTCTAAGAATGTAAGATTTTCAAAAATGTTCAGATGGTTTTTCTTACCTGACCCAGAAAATAAATTCCTCCACCTACTACAAAAGCAGAAATTGCTGTACCAAAAACAGAAAACAAGATGATGGAACCAATATTTTGAAAGAAGTTACCCTGTTTGAAAGAGCAGAAATGAGAGAAATGGTTAGAAAAAGTGGTCCAGCCAATGAAGGCCTGGCCCCCACACCTGGCCCTCCTGACATGCTTGATTCTCTGTGAAGGGCACCATCCCCCACCCCATTTGGCAAGCTGGGAACCTGGGAGTCTTCTCTCATGCCTACATCTCATACAGAGCCTGTGGCTTTTATCTTCCCCACGACATCCCATCTCCCTGCTTCTCTCCATCCTCATCTCCACCGCCCTTGCCCAAGCTGCCATCATCTCTCCCCAGGACCACTGTAATAGCTTCTAGCAACTCTCAACCATCCCTGGCTCCTTGCCTACCAAGGGCTTCCAGAATGATCATTGCAAAAGACCAATCTGATTGTGCTACCTTCACTCTGACCCTCACTTCCACTGGAAATGCAGCTAAAACCCAACCCAAGCCTGGACGGTTTGACCCCCTGTGAAGACCTCTAACTCTCTCCCCTTTATTTTCTGGATGCCAGTCACACTGGTGGTTTTTTGTTCTTCAAATGTACTGTGCTTCCTGGGTTTGAACCACTCTTCCTTCCTCTTTGCTTGGTGAACTCCAATCACCCTAAGTTCTCAGAACACACTTCCTGAGGGAAGCCTTCTCAGATGTGTGTCTTTCCCACTAGGCTGCAGACTCAGCAGGGGCAATGACCACATCTGCTTTTGTATAATGTCACTGAAATAATGGTTGTCAGATGCAAGATGCCCAGTTGAGTAGGTACCAGAGGAATCAATTGTGTTTCATGTCTGATCAAAGTTCAAAGTTTATACAATCATAACTTTTTGTTTAATTAAGAAAAGGTACAGTACTATAAAGAATGTTAAAACAGTAGATTATACTATCAAAACCTCTTTTTGCTTTCTAGGTCTTTTAAACAGTTCTATTTCACTCTATCAACATCAAATGCAAATGTGACAGATAAAATATATTTCCATCTATACTCTATGGCAGTGTTTCCCAAACTTTTGACATATGTGTACCCCTTCTATAATTTTTGTAACACCGAGTACCCCTCGTACTCATGAGAACGTAGAATTGGGCGCAGCTAAGCACAGTGCAGTGCATATCCCCACCAAACTCCGGTGCAAATCGTACCCCCACCAAACTCTTCCTGTACCCCTGGGGGTACGTGTACCACACTTTGGGAAACACTGCTCTATGGCATTTAAGAGAAAATATTTGAGTGTAAGAGCAGAGTAGCATCTTTTACATTTCCATAAAATTAAGAAAATTAGCTGTTTATTAGAATTCTATGGACCCACTCACGAGCAATACCAGGGAACATTGATGACCCCTTAACTGTGAGTGTGGACAAGGGATCCCATCTTTTCGCTTAGGAACTGTCAAGCCATAGTCAGCAGAAACTGACATTTTAAAGCTCACTTCAAAAGTGTGCTCAGCTTAACTCTGACAACTCACTAATCCTGTCTCCTTCAAGAAATTTCTTTGCTTTATTCATTGTGATTTTGATTCGGTTGCCCATAATCTGGCATTCAATTACTTTGCTTGGCATGTCAATCCTTAGTACACAGGAACTTTCAAATAACTCAAACACAATGATTTGGGTTTTTTTTCTAAACAAAAGGCTTTCATCTATGAGTTTTTCTTTGCAAAAAGCTGCTTTAGCTTATTTTAAAACTAGAGGCCCAGTGCATGAAATATGTGCACGGGTAGCATGCCTAGGCCTGGCTGGTGATCAGGGCTGATCTGTGGGGTCACTGGCAGGGCAATGAGGTGGGGAAGAGGGGGAGGGACCCGTTGGCACTTGCCTTGGCTGACCTGGAGCCTGCGGGCTGGGGGCAGCTCCTGCATTAAACGTCTTCCCCATGGTGGTCAGTGCTTGTCATAGCAACAAATTGGTTGATTTGCATATTAGGCTTTTATTATATAGGAGAGATTAAATTAAATCTTGGTCTGTTTATAAGGAGCTAATTCTGATAAATATATGTAGTTGATCAATATTAATCTGGATATTGAAAATTTGCCCAAATACAAGTTATCACACTAGAAGAACTTCCCTTTGTTATACAAAGTAAATTTATCTGTTTCTGACATACTTATTGTTCTATCCTTTGTATGATATTTATAATTTAAAGAGATAATACCTGAATACATAATGCATATCAACTTAGAGTAGTCTTACTGAATTTTTAATTCCAAGTCCAAATTTACATTAGCAAATATAGCAATATTAAATTAAAACATTCAGAGTTAACTTCCTATCTTCTTTGGGGAAAGGTAAGAAGTAGACAGTTTCTGAATTCACATTTCCATATCACATTAGTCCCTTTCACATAAATTATCACATTCTCTGCTGGAAAGCCATCTTCAAAGAAATCATTATTATTTTTTTCTCATTTGAATTTATTGGGGGGGTGACACTGGTTGATAAAATTATATAGGTTTCAGGTATACAATTCTCTAATACATTATCTGTATATTGTATTATGTGTTCACTATCCCAAGTCAAGAAATGATTTATTTTAAAAACTATTATTTTCCTCAAATTTTTAACAAGTTTATTTTCCTTCCCTCAAAAAATTAGAAAATAAAACTTTTCAAGCTCTAACATAGTAGTAACCAGTGTTATGTTTTTAAGTCAAAAATCAAATCTATTTCCTTAAATTTGTTTTGAAACATTTTCATACTCTGCTGATAGTTCTTTTAAGATTTATGAAATGAAAAAAATTAAGAATAAAAATATTGACCTTCAATTTCTCCTTGTTTTTTTTTTTGTTTTTTTTTTTTTAACAATTACCTGATGTCAGTAATAGTTTATAAGACTTGGGAATTTTTTTTTTTTTTACATTAAACTTCCTTTTCACATTTTAGGTGGATAGATGTACAATAAAATAGTCTTGGCTAGTTTTTCCCAGTGGTTAGAGCATCAGTCCATGAATCAAAGGGTCTTGGGTTCGATTCCTGATCTGGGTGTGTGTGCAGGAGGTTAACTAATCAATGTGTCTCTGACATTGATCTCTCTCTCTCTCTCTCTCTCTCTCTCTCTCTCTCTCCTCCTTACCTCCCTCCCTTCCACTCTCTCTGAAAATTAATATTTAAAAAAATTATCTGGTAAGGATTAAATAATAATAACAACAATTTAAAAATTCTGAACTGAACATCTTAGAATATTTTTGCTTTGGTACCCACGTGAAAAATTAGAGATTAATTTGTATGTTTTAACCAAAAGTTTCTTGACAAATTTTAATCTTTATTATGTTATTGTTCATACTACTAGTAATATTAATATTAGTAATACTAAGTATTAATAATAAGAAACACTACAATTTATTTAATGTAATGGGTGGTGCTTTGCACATATTCTTTCATCTAGTGTAAATTTCTTCTTTTTTTAAAAAAAATATTTTTACTGATTTCAGAGAGGACAGGAGAGGGAGAGATAGAAACATCAATGATGAAAGAGAATCATTAACTGGCTGCCTCCTGCACACCTCCTACTGGGGATTGAGACTGCAATCTGGGCATGTACCCTTGACTAAAATCGAACCCAGGACCCTTCAGTCTGCAGACTGATGCTCTATCCACGGAGCCAAACCAGCTAGGGCTAGTGTAAATTTCAAAGCAACCTGAGAGGTAGGGATTTGTTTTTGTTTTTTGTTTTGAATTTCTGCTGTACCCAAAAGCAATCCATAGGGGGCAGCATATGATTAGATCTAGGTCTCTGGCTCCAAAGCCCAGGCTCTTTCCTCTTTCCAATGGTTAGGTTAAATCTTAGTCCTATTAACCTTCATAATTTTTTTTTAACCATACTCATAAAATAATCTTTTTATTACTAACATTTTAAGTTGAACCATGTATTTTAAAACTTAAATATATTTATCTTTAAAGAAAACTTATAGGGAAAAAAAAAAAACATGCACACACACAAAACTAGCTTAAAAGTGAGAAACTCCTGCCCAGGCAGAAAGAGTCCCACTGGAAGTTGGAGGACAGACCAGAAATTACAAGGCAAAGCCGGGAACTGTGCAGGTGCCAGCGGGGCCACTCTTAAGGGTGGAACCCGGAAGCCCAGGCTGAGCAGAACAACTGTGGGAGTGGGGGAATGTGCCTGAAGGAGTAAGAAGATGAGGCAGAATGATGGGGCTCCAGCTATGAAGAGTAGCTGGACTGGGGAGCAAGGGGAAATGGGGAATGCAAGCTGCGAGTTGAGGCCCAGGGTAGGGTACTGAGAGGGGAGATACTGAAGGATGAGGAGCCTAAGGAGGGAGAAGGACTCATGATGAGCTAAGAGAATCAAAAGGCCCAAGGTACATGTCCCTGTTCATCCAGGACACACTCCATCCTTTCAACATGTGCTAGTCTGTGTCCAACAAGAAGAGTCATTATGTCACCCATGTACCACTTAATATCACTCTGGCCATCTTCCTAGGAAAATCTCCCTTCTATGGAATACCCTGGTTTAATAAGCCACACTGCCTGACACCATGAAAGCAGCCCGCTGACCATGTCTCTCCTGTCCACAAGTCAGGCAGTCCAGTCCAGCTTCTACCCTGCCACCCAGGATGAGTAGCGGAGACACCACTGCTAAATCAACACCCAAGCTTCTTACCGACACAGGAAGCCATCCAGACCAAAAACACTAATATGTGTCTGAGTCTTACCTTGTGTAGTGAATATCCTGACTCAAATATAATAGGTGGAAGCAATAGAAGGAAAAACATATTTGGACGAAACATTTCTTCTTCCTGTAAACATAAAACGGGTATTTTTAGAGGCATGGAATTTGTGTAATTAAGAACTAAATCCACCAATGAAGAGCCAAAGTAATTCTCCTCTCAGGTCTGGCCCAGTGAAAACATACCTGATAAAAACAACCAGGCAGGAGAACAGACAAGAAAACAAAAAATAACAGCTCCTCCCCCACATACACCCCCCCCCCCAAAAAAAAAAGTGTATTTAACAATGTAGGACAGCCCTAGCTGTTTGGCTCAGTGGATAGAGCGTCAGCCTGTGGACTGAAGGGTCCAGGGTTCGATTCTAGTCAAAGAAAATGCCTGGGGTGGGGGCTCAATTCCAGAAGCAACTGATCAATGATTCCCTCTCATCATTGATGTTTCTATCTCTCTCTTGCTCCCCCTTCCTCTCTGAAATCAATACTAATATATATATATTGATTTTATTGATTTTTTACAGAGAGGAAGGGAGAGAGATTGAGAGCTAGAAACATCGATGAGAGAGAAACATCAACCAGCTGCCTCTTGCACACCCCTTACCAGGACGTGCCCACAACCAAGGTACATGCCCTCGACCGGAATCGAACCTGGGACTTCTCAGTCCACAGACCGACGCTCTACCACTGAGCCAAACCGGTTTCGGCTAAAAAAAATTTTTTTTTTTAAAGTAGGATAAGTGAGTTTAAAAGGTGACAAGTAAAAAAAAAGGTAGAGCCGAAACCGGTTTGGCTCAGCGGTAGAGCATTGGTCTGCGGACTGAAAGGTCCCAGGTTCGATTCCGGTCAAGGGCATGTACCTTGGTTGCGGGCATATCCCCAGTAGGGGGTGTGCAAGAGGCAGCTGGTCGATGTTTCTCTCTCATCGATGTTTCTAGCTCTCTATCTCTCTCCCTTCCTCTCTGTGAAATCAATAAAATATAAGAAAAAGAAAAAGAAAAAGAGAAGGTAGAATGAGTCGCTTCCAAACACACCATTGTATGTTTTTTATCCTTTACTAAGGAAAGAAAATTAATTTTAATGTAGAAAACTTTTCAATTCAAGCAGAACACTTTCAAAAACAAGTCCACAAATTGGAACTCTCCGGGATAAAGGCAGTGGTAAGCCCTAAAACAATCCGCTGAGAGGAAGAGTAAACCCTGCAAGTGTCTATGACAGCTCCCCCTTTTCTCTGTCTGTCACAGACAGCTCCGCCATTTTCCTAAATCTGACTGAGATAAGAGTCCCCTCCTGATCACCTCACAACTTGATAGCCATGTCCCTCACTATGCTTCCAGGTTCAAATATTAAGTGCAATTATGAAAGCTATTTCTAGATATTGCCATCTTTGGTAGAATGAAATAATAGGTGGATTTTCTATATTAATGTATTTCTCTAATTGTTGGTGAATTAGGGGAAAACACATCTTGGTCTTCAATCCCAAAATGACTACATGTAATACACAGTCTATAAAATACTGCAAAATTAGGCCATTTTCCATATGAAAATTTCTATGCCATAATCTTGACAGTCTGGTTTCTTGTCAAAATTCTCTATTCAAAAGAATAACTAAATGTATTCTTACAAATGTACAGCTGTTACCATAAAGACTAAAATAGCATTTAAGAAAGGCTCAAAATAGAAGCAAATGACTTCTGATTAAGTCTTAAAATAACTCCCTGTACGAGCTCATGACTCATGCTGGGACCACGTGAAAAGAAACAGGCTGATCTCTGGGTCCGTGGGGCAACCAATTCCCGGGATCCGGGAAGTGGAGCCACCGTACAGATTCTTTTGGAGTTTCAGAAACTAACCCTTCCCTGGGGAAAAGGAGAACCCACCTACAATGGATTTCGTAGTGGCCTCCAGCCCCAATTCATGTTCACCTGGAACCTCAGAATCTGACCTCGTTTGGAAATCAGGTCTTTGCAGATGGGATTAAGGGAAGGATCCTGATGAGGTCATTCTGGATTAGAATGAGTTCCAAACCCAATGACAGTGTTCTCATTAGGAATAGAAAAGGACACTCAGACACAGAAGGCCGTGTGAAGATGGACTAAGGCAGAGACACAGCCAAGGAATGTCTGTGCCACCAGAAGCTGAAAGAGACAATGAAGGATTCTCCCTGGGAGCCTGAATTTGCTCCCTGAAGGCTCTGCCAACACCTTCATTTCAGATTTCTAGCCTCCAGAACGATGAGAGAATAATCTCAGTTGTTTTAAGTCAGCCAGTTTGTGGCAATTTGTTACAGCAGCCACAGGAAATGCATTCACCACTTTACGGTGAATGGTGCTTCAGAAAGGTCCCTGGTTTCTTTTGGCAACACCTCTCCCCAAAACAGTCAGATGGTTTTCGGTGGCACTTGAGAAGTGTGTGTGTCAAATACCGCTGACCCTGCAGACAGAAAGTCAGCCCTTTTGGATTCTTTTCAATCCCAGTTAAGTCAAAGCCATCTCAGGCTGGTGCAACAGTGAGTACGGCTTCTCTCCAGTGTGCTGACCTCTCTCTGACAGGCTTGACCTTAGAGACTTCAGTACCTTCCTTTTTTTTTTTTTTTAATATATATTTTATTGATTTTCTTACAGAGAGGAAGGGAGAGAGAGAGAGCTAGAAACGTCGATGAGAGAGAAACATCGACCAGCTGTCTCTTGCACACCCCCTACCAGGGATGTGCCTGCAATCAATGTACATGCCCTTGACCGGAATCGAACCTGGGACCTTTCAGTCCGCAGACTGACGCTCTACCGCTGAGCCAAACCGGATTCGGCTCCTTTTTTTTTTTTTTTTTTTTTAATCTTGTTTATTTAGAAAAATGAAATTGGTTTTCCACTTAAAACAGTACTATGATGTTTCCTTTAAAATAAAGTTCATTGCAGCATCATGTACAACAGCCAAAAAATGGAAACAAACCAAGGGTCCATCAACAGATGAATAAATAAAGTATGGTATAAACCTACATGGAACATCATTCAGCCATAAAAAGAAAGGCAATTCTGATATATGCTACAACATAGATGAACCTTAAAAATAACATGCTGAGTAAAATTAGTCAGACACAAAGGGCTAAATATTATGATTTCACTTACATTTGGCAACTAGAATAGGTAAGTTCATAAAGACAGAAAGTATAATAGGGTTACTAAAACAAACAAACAAAACAAAAAAAAACAAAACAGAAAGTAGAAAGGGCCCAGCCACTGTGGTTCAGTGGTTGAGCATCAATCCATGAATCAGGTGGTCACAGTTCAATTTCAGGTCAGGACACATGCCATGTTGTGGGCTCAATCCCCAGTAGGGGGCATGCAGGAGGCAGCTGATCAATGATTCTCTCTTATCATTGATGTTTCTATCTCTCCCTCTCCCTTCCACTGTGAAATCAATTTTTAAAAATTATATACACACACACACACACACACATATATTTATATAAAAGAAAATAGGGCAGAAAAATGTATTTATTTAGTACATTTTATGTTATGTATATTTTACCACAATAAAGCTTTAAAAACTGCTACAAAAATGCATATGAATAAAAAAAATCAGCCGGGACCGGTTTGGCTCAGTGGATAGAGTGTCAGCCTGCGGACTGAAAGGTCCCGCGTTCGATTCCGGGCAAGGATTGCGGGCACATCCCCAGTAGGGGGTGTGCAAGTGGCAGCTGACCGATGATTCTCTCTCATCGATGTTTCTAACTCTCTCTCTCTTCCTCTCTGTGAAAAATCAATAATATATATATATTTTTAAAATCAATTGATTTAGAGAAATATATTGAACATACGACAATACAGGTAGAATGCAGGCCCAGAGAGACAGCCTGAAAATAGAACTTCATGGAGAAAAAAATACCAAGCTCCTTGTTTTTCTTATCTCCAATTGCTCCCTGCAGCACCCAGATTCCAAACAGGTGTCCTGCTTCCTGCTTCGGCGTTACACAAACGCTGGTCTTGCAGGAAGCCTGCCTCTAGCAGCCCCGCTAGAAACCTTGCCCTTTTCTGAGGTCAAGCACTGGTTGCCTGGATGGCTATGCAGGCACTTAATTCATCACCCAATTTTGGCTCACTTGTCTGTACTATTCAATGTATTACTAATATTTTAACTTGACACATCTGTAAAAATAAATCCACTAATACTGAAGCCTATAAAACTAAAAGTGCGAGATAACCTGCCCTCCTCTCCTCTCGCTAATCAGAGCAGGGGTCACAGCTCAAAGGTTTCCAGGGGCCACATGGGGTTACCAGGGGAGCAGCTGCCCCTCGGTGCCTGGTGTCCGCTGAGCAGAATGCAGGGTGCTGTTAAGAGAGCTGCTTTTTCAAGAGAAGCTAGGAGTTCAGATTTTTATATAAAAACTCCAGGATTTTATATGAATTAATAATATTTAAATATAGAACAACTTTAAATTATTTTTAAATCAATTTAAATTTCCATCAACTGCTTTTAAATCAAGTGAAACAAAATGTGTTAGGTACAGTTCGGGCTCTGACAAGCCTAGGAGAAGAGAAAGGGTACCAGTCTGTGCCCCACGGCCTAGGACGAGCCCCAGCAGGGATGGTTAGATTTAACAAGCTGCAGGAGGCAGAGATATTATTCACAATGTGCTCCGGTGGGGCCTGCCCAGCCTCAGCTCAGCTGAGGGGGTTCTATACTATTAGAAGCTGAATATACACTTGAGAATTCATTTAAACATATATTTCCTGAATATTATGTATAACAATTTCAAATTGTGCTTCATACAATGGTCACATGGCTTGTTTTAGAAAGTTTATACACTACAGCAGCAATTGCCACTGTTGGTCCGTGAGGTCCGAAAGGTTGGCGACCACTGCTCTATAGCTTAGCAGGCAGATTAACCCCAGGGGAGCTCAAATGTGATACATTTTAACCATCCAATTCTTTAATATTTTGAAATGGACCTTATTTCCATTCACAAATTCAATTTTGTAACACACTTGTTAATTTCTCAATATGAATGCTCAAGTTTAAGTTTAAATTCAATTTTCAATTAGTCCTTACGCCACAAGATGATGCTCACTCTCTAATGACCACTGTGCAAACACTAAGGCATGGACATCCACAGACTGAGGCCAGCATGGTGCCATGGAGGAAACATAGAATATTCAGGGCCAGAGGGTGTGGACACATGACTCAACTCAGCCACTTTCTAGTTCTGTGACACTGGACATATCCTGACTTCTCTGGGCATTATTTTCATCAACTGTAAAAAATGGGGTGATGATAATACTCAATCTACCTCCCATGGATATCAGGGGACAGCATGAGCTATAGTTTGTAAAGCAATCTGTAAGCTCTACAGTTTTATTATTCTCAGCTGTGAGAATAGAATAAATTGGGAACTACCAACGTTGTTTAATATTTAACACTAGTTAGAGCCCTATCTAGTGGGGTTCAATTGGTTGGAGTATACACCAAAAGGTGGCAGGTTCGATTCTCAGTCAGAGCATATACCCAGGTTTTGGGTTCGATCCCTGGTGAGGGAGGCAACTGATCGGTGTTTCTCTCTCTAAGGTTAAATAAATAAATAAAAGAATGCTAATTAGAGCCTTCCCTTAAGGTTATAAAAATGTGCATAAATAACATAACATTGAGGGCTCCATGTTAGCTTGAAACAGACATATGCTTTAAAAAAGCTAAGTTGTAGCCGAAACTGGTTTGGCTCAGCGGTAGAGCGTCCGTCTGCGGACTGAAAGGTCCCAGGTTCAATTCCGGTCAAGGGCATGTACGTTGGTTGTGGGCACATCCCTGGTAGGGGGTGTGCAAGAGGCAGCTGGTTGATGTTTCTCTCTCATCGAAGTTTCTAGCTCTCTATCTCTCTCCCTTCTTCTCTGTAAAAAATCAATAAAATATATTAAAAAAAAATTTTCTAAAAAAGCTAAGTTGTAAAGGTATCAACCCTAATCTAATAGAATATTAAATAAATTAATGTGGTAATATAAACTCCATTGATAAGAAAGCCACCATAACTATCAGTGTTGCTAAAATTAAAAACAACCAAAAAACCCCACCCATAATTATGTTAAAAATGAACCTACCTTCCAATTTGCCAGTTTTTTAAACTCTATAATTTTTATAACTGCTCCCATGAGAATACCTAGAAGAGAAAACGTAAGTTTAATATAAATTTAAGGTATGAGAAAGATTAGTCAGGTTTATTATTCTAGAGAAAATGAGTATTATTATGTCTCTAAGTGGCTTTTACGAATTTCTGCAAGTTCTATGTCTGAAAACACAAGAATGGAAATTAGTGTGAAGTTTTATGAGTTACATGAGCTTCTCACTTGCATCTCAGGCAAACATACTATCATGAAGTCTACAGACATCTCAGCTTTACACCAAATAGGACCCGGGAACAGTTTGCCTGACACAGAAGATTTAACACCTTTCATTTTTCTATATCCACCCATTTTCAATGAGAAATGGGAGAAATCTTACAAGCCAACTTTGCCTCTTAGTCCTACCATTTTCAAAACTGAACCCAAGATCACTTTCTCAGACTCAGATGGCAGCCCACTGTAGAGTCTTTAGTCAGAGATAAAACCAAATGCTGAAAATAAGTAAAAATTATCTGAAATTCCTGGAACAAAACAGACCATTTAAGTTCAGGCATGTTTCCATAAAGCTGACAGTTTCATTACTCTCTCATAAAATAATTCTCAAACAAACATCACGGGTACAATTTATGACTGCTGTGTTATTCACGAGGTAAATGATTCTCAATCCTGTTGGCTCATCAGAATCACCATGGAGGTTTTTATAAAATCGAGACACCAGAGCAGAACTCCAGATCCACTGAATCACAATCTCTGGTAGCGGGTGACACAAAGCAAGCCTGAAGACCACTGTCATAGACACTTAATGACAGACTCCCCTTCCCCCATCAAATACAGAAAACGGAAGAAAAAGACCTTCTTGGGAGAATGAGGAGACAATACGAGGATAAAGAAGTTTATTGAGAAAAGAAGCTGTACTAACACAAACTGTCATGGAGAAGGAGGGCCTGGAGGTGAAGAGAGATGAGCAATTTTAACTTTATAAACCTCTATACTATTTGAATTGCTATATATTATTAAAATAGTAATAAAGTTACTTTGAAAGAGAGACTGCGACAAAAGAAATCTGAGCAATAAAGGGAACCGATGACCATATTTGCAGAACAGGAGCCCTCTCCAGCTAGAGTCCTCCAGTTGCTTCTTTTTCCTTCTCTCTTCAAGTTGTGCATACATTTTAAGGAGTTTTATACAAATTTTTATCAAGTAACTAGTTCATTAATACTCTTAAAATGTATTAAAAAAAAAACCCAAAAAACACAAAAGTCCCTTTTGATGAAATCCCACTCCCTCTCTTCCTGCCCCAAGGTAACCAACCATTGTGACAGGTTTGATGAATATTCTATCCCCTTATTTATATTTAAACATATAGTCTTGGTGTGTGTGTGTGTGTGTGTGTGTACACAAGGCACACCTATGTGTATTTATATAAAATTTATGATGCTGTAATGCATCTTTCTACTATTTGCTATTTTGCTCAGTGTTAAGTCTTGATCTATATGTAAAAATAGACCAGGGATCATGCAAAACTGCCTCATTTCTTTTAACAGTTCTACAGAATAGCATAAAAATACCACAGGTTGAATAGATATTTCTGCAAAGGAGATTCACAAATGGCCAACAAGTACATGAAAAGATGCTTAACAACATTCGTCATCAGGGAAATGCAAATCCAAACCACAAAATACAAATAAAAAAATACTTCTTCATACCCACTAGGATGGTTATAATTTTCAGAAACACAGAGAAACCGGAACCCTCATACACTGATGGTGCAAATGTAAAATGGTACAATTGCTATGGAAAACCAGTTTGGCAGTTCCTCCAAAAGTTAAACTGAGTTACCACAGGATTCAGGAATTCGATCAAGACAAGTGAAAGCATACTTTCCTACAGAAATTTGTATATGGATGTTCAGCATTATTCAAAATAGCCCAAAGGTGGATACAACCTAAATGTCTATCAAGTGATTAATGGATTAAAAAAAAAAAGTGGTATATCCGAACAATGTAATATTATCTGGCAATAAAAAGGAATGAAGCAGTAATTCATGGTGCAATGTGGATGAATCTTGAAAACATGCTAAGTGCAAGAAGCCAGACATAAAAGGCATAATTTATGATGCATTTATTTATTTGTTTATTTATTATTATTTTTTAATTTATTATTATTTATTTATTTATTATTATTTTTTTAAACCAAACCCTTCACTTCTTTTTTTATTTTTGTACAGAGAGGAAGGGAGAGAGATAGAGAGTTAGAAACATTGATGAGAGCGAATCATCGATCAGCTGCCTCTTGCACACCCCCTACTGGGGATGTGCCCGCAACCAAGGTACATGCCCTTGACCAGAATCGAACCTGGGACCTTTCAGTCCCCAAGCCGACGCTCTATCCATTGAGCCAAACTGGTTTCGGCCTTATGATGCATTTAAATGAAATATCCAGAATAGGCAAATCTATAGAGTCAGAAATGATTGCCTAGGATTGAGGAGTAGGGCTTTGAGGATAATAGCTAAAGGGTGTGAGGTTTCTTTATAGGATGATAAAAATGTTCTAACGTCAATTTTTAGAATAATTGCACAATCCTGTGCCTATACTAAAAAACACTGAATTGTACAGCTAAAATGGGTAACTTGTATGGTATGTGAATTATATCCCAATAAAATTGTTATAGGGGAAATAAGGGAAATGGGGAGTAACTGCAAACGAATAAAGGGTTTGTTTTTTTTTTAAACGACAAAACTGTTCTGGACTTAGATGGTGGTGGTGTTTGCAACAATCCTGTGAATTGTACACTTAGAAACTGTGAAGTTTATGGTATGCGAATTACATTTAAAATTTTTTTAAGTCACATTTTAAAAACTAATCCCCCAGTGATGACTGTCTCCAACTGTTTGCTATTGACAGTGGTGCTGCAATGAACATCCTGGTGCATGCCTCTTGTGTAACAGTGTTGTCCTAAGGCGGATTCAGAGACAATGAATGGCATGAGCTTTTTTTAATATCTGAAAATGTTGTCAAATTGTCCTCCAAAGTGGCAGTATGGCTTTTCACCAGAGCAATCCCCTCATCCTCACCAACCCTGGAAAATCATCAGACTAAACATTTCTGCCAATTTGGGGCAAGACACTACTTTAAAGTTTCAGTTTGCATTTGCAGTCAACCTGCCTTCAGTAATCATTTCTGAATACCAGGAAAGCTGAACCTCTTTTCATGGTTTCAGATTTCACTTTTAAAGCTAGTGTTTTTCTGCTCTACTAAAACCTCAACTTTCGTTTTCCTTTGTAAATGTACACCAAACTTTAATACCATGACTAACTCTTGTAATTATATATGAAACAGTAACATTTAAAAATAAAAATAAAAATATTCTATTGCCTAAGCTTGTGTTTATATTCTTACTAGAGGCCCAGCGCACAAAATTTGTGCATGGGTACAGCCCCTAGGCCTGCGATTACTATTAGTAGTATTATTATAATTACTTGAGTAATCCTTTTGAGAAGTCCTAGGACTGAACTATGGCACAGCATTAAATTGGAAAACTAGCCGAAACCGGTTTGGCTCAATGGATAGAGCATCGGCTTGGGGACTGAAGAGACCCGGGTTCGATACTGGTCAAGGGCACGTACCTTGGTTGTGGGCATATCCCCAGTAGGGGGTGTGCAAGAGGCAGCTGATCGATGACTCTCTCTCATCAACGTTTCTAACTCTCTATCTCTCTCCCTTCCTCTCTGTACAAAATCAATAAAATATATATTTTAAATTGGAAAACTATTTCTCTACCTTTTGAGATTCAGGTCCAATGTGAGGAGAAATTAATTTTTACCACACAACAGGCCACCAGATAGAAATAATACCCTAGATACAATTTTGAATATTCCTATCAGTAAAGAGAATTTGATCATGCACTTTCAAGTTACAAATGTGTATTATTATAAAACATTGCTACTGTATTATATAATATACACAAAAAATAGAAATTGTAAAAAGGTGAGATTAAAATGAAATAGAAACATAAACCCTACTATTTTCTTTTGCCCCCAATGGATCTTCATGCACACACTCATTATGGACATTACTGAATTAAATAAAAAACCGAGAACAATAATGATTTGTTGAGATTCTTCTCCTAGGGTTTGTCATTGCAACTTATTTCTAATCCTCAAGAGAAGATTGCAGGTAGGAAAGCTCAAAGAGTTTAAGAAGTTTGTCTGACAACTCAGGGCCATCACTACTGGCTCATGGGTACATTCTACTACCTCATGATACTGGTCTACCATGACCACAGTAAAATATCAGTGTTCTTGATAATTAACATTATAGGGATGCTTAAAATGCATTAATTGTAATAACAGATTACAAAACAGTACGTTGAACATGACCCTCGTTCCCTTAAAAAATATACTAGTATATGCACACACATATTTATTTGCACTGTGTTAAAAATAAACACCCAGACACACAGTACAGATAATTTTGAAAATCCAGTTGATTCTACTACTTATACTAAAGTAGATACTACTACAAAGATACTCTAAAAGACAGAAGACCTGCCAATAGGATGGGAATCAGTACCTCGGGGTTGTTTGTCTATGTTCTGGGGAAAAGGCTGTTTAAATGTTTTGTTTTTAAAATAGCTTACTTCTTCAAAGGAATGGTATTCCTTACTAATATGAAGAGAACAGTGATATGATGAAAGAGGAAATTTATAGAAATCAGCACCGATATAGCCAGTTTCAGAATGCAATTCTTTAACAACTTTTTACTTTTAAAATTTAGACTATCTCACCTGGCTGGCATGGCTCAGTAGTTGCACGTCGACCTATGAACCAGGAGGTCATGTTTTGATACCTGGTCAGGGCACATGCTCAGGCTTCAGGGTCGATCCCCAGTGTGGGGCGTGCAGGAGGTAGCCAATCAATGATTCTCTCTTATCATTGATGTTTCTATCTCCCCCTCTCTTTTCCTCTCAGAAATAATAAAAATAATTTAGACTACCTCACTATTCTGGCATATCTGGAAGATTTAAATATAAAATACAGCTTAAAGATGATAAAATGCTGAGACAAGAGAAGATGACCATAAAACTAGGAAAGTCAAAGCAAGGCTCCAGACAAAAGCAGGAAGCTATTATATTACACACGAGGACACATTTAGCTAATGGCAGCAAAACAGCAACACGGACTTCTAAGAATAAATTATCACCTCCGATCTGTGTTTCCAGAAACATGGAGGCGAAAAGTCTGTTAGCACTCTTCCTTAGAATGTGACAGCCTGGAGAATCCTCTGTCTAATGCAGTCATTTTGTCAATCTGACAACCAGTTTTGGCCTCAAAGATAGCTATTCTAATACCAACACATGAATATCTGTTTCTTCTCTAATAAATCAAACACCTAAGACTCAGGGAGAGTTACCTGTGGAACATCTTAAGTTGCATCAATATTAGACTCTGAGTCTAAAAAGTAATGAAAGCTATTACAGTTAGGAGCCTCCTTTTAAGTTTCCTTTAAAAACATTTTTAATAACTTAAGTACAATTGGAATATAATTACTGTATTTGCTTTTTTTTCCAGAATTACTGGTAGTCAATAATTCAGGAACTGAATGATTTTTCCTTATCTTCCACTCAAAACCCTTATCGACAAAAAGAGCACTAATCTTAAAAAAAAAATAAAAATCCTTTAGCCAAAATAAGAAGGAATTGTCCTTCTTGTTGGTATGGCTCAGTGATTAAGTATCGACCTATGAACCAGGAGATAAAGGTTCGATTCCCAGTCAGGGCACATGCCCGGGTTGATCCCCAGTGTGGGGAGTGCAGGAGGCAGCCAATCAGTGATTCTCCCATTGATGTTTCTATCTTCCCCTCCTGTTCTATCTCTAAAGTCAATAAGAATATATATATTTAAAAATAAGAAGAAATTACTATAATTAAAAACAGATATATTTAAGAAGGTTATGACAGGGAGCACTTCTGTGTATTCTGTTCACCCAATGATCCAATCAAATCCAGTTGTAAGTTAAAACCAGGTTTTCTATTTATCAGTGATATTCAGGCTACACCGTGGCATTGGAAAGTCAAATTTCCAGGCCTTACTTTTTTACCCCCATTGTGGCCTTTCCATGCTCTAAAATAAAATATGACTGTGAAAAAAGTCTACACCTGTTTTTGCTATATATGACAGAGGACAGTGGGCAATACAATTATTCTTTTTCTTTCCTTATAAATTTCAGCCCTAAATCTGTAAACAGTGAATCAGCCCTATACGTTCAATGAAAATAAATACATGAGCTTAAGTAATACATGGAAAGAATAGTAAAAAGGAAAGAACATGCAAAAATGATATAAACCTAAACCAAATCAAGTCATCTAATTGATATATATGTCTATAAGTGGTTTGGAAGAGAATGAAGCATGATAAAAACTGGTGAAATTGTCAATGAAAAGGATTTTTGTATAACTGTTTAACCGAGCCAAAAATTTATTTATTTTTATTTATTTTTTTAAATTTTATTTATTTTAAATATATTTTATTGATTTTTTTTTTTTTTCACAGAGAGGAAAAGAGAGCTAGAAACATCGATGGGGGTGTGCAGGCGGCAGATGATCGATGTTTCTCTCTCATTGATGTTTCTAGCTCTCTATCCCTCTCTTTTCCTCTTTGTGAAAAAATGCCCTTGACCGGAATCGAACCTGGGACCCTTCAGTCCACAGGCTAACGCTCTATCCACTGAGCCAAACCGGTTTCGGCCAAAATTTTATTTTTTAAAAAGATGCCCAAATTACGGAATTTCATTAGGTATAATATATAAAGTATCTGAAAGCTTTGAACAACGGCCAAGGAAGTATCTTTAGAACATCATGTTGATATTTTTTATAAAAAATAAAAAAGTCTCAAGTTTCATTTAAAAATACAATAAAATATAAGGGAGAAATGTGTCTTTACGGTATAGTTAGGTCTTTTTTTCTATAACAACACTTCCTTAGGAACTTTGAAGCCTTAGCCATCACACAAAAGGCCAATAATATCTCTAAGTGACTTGGACTTCTATGCTTCTGGCTAGAAGAGGTAGGGTGGGAAGTTTATCCGGAAAGAATGAAGACCCCATTTTCTCTGGCAGCTTCATCTTGGTTTTTTGTGTTTTTTTTTGGCACAAAAGTTGGAAATTCTTGACATGGTGAAAATCTCACTATTTTGTTACATTTTGCTCCAGTACTACAAAAGTTCTCCTTCAATTCACACAGCTTTATGAAATGCAGAACTATTTTGATCGTTTTGCCAGCTTTTCTAAATTGTAACCAAATGTCCCTTAATAGAATAAAAACTACTTTCTGATCCCAGCACTCTCTCTGGTAGTTCTCTTAGTGTTCCAATCACCTGAGTTAGCAAATAATTATTTAAAATAATTATTTAAAATAATTATTTTCCATTATCCCTCCCAAGACCTGCCTGTACAGTCTACAGTCTACAAAAGAGAGAAATTCCAGGTAGAATGGAATGCTCTCTGAAGACCTGAGATCTGACTCTGACATTAAAGTGAGCCATTTCTCTTTCCTAAACTATAAAGTGGGAGCCCCACTGGCTGTCAAATACAGTGGCACTATGAATTAAAGTGCCATTTACTTGCCTTAGTTCAGTAGAACGTCAGCGTAACCGCGTAGCAGAGGTCAACGTGCCCCAATGTGTTCTAGAAGTAGTAAAGGCCTTTGAGGGGCTTCTATGTGACCTTCATGAGATCATCACCCCTCTCTGAGCCACAGGGTCCTCACCCGTAAAACGGGATCATAACACCCTCATGGCAGGTTGCAGTGAGGATTACGCGAGATCAGGAATGTACCCCATCTTTTGTGGTTCCTGGCAGTAGGTGGCACTAAAAAAATCATAGTTATCGCAACTGCTTTTTTATTAAACTCACCAATAAGCACTTACCTAAGGAAACAACAGCAACACTCTCTGGCAAGAAATGTAATCTGTATCGAATCAGTAAATGCACCAATATGATGCAGATAGCTGTAGGAAAAACAAGACATTGTTAAAACAGACATTCTGAAATGATAAATACCAAGTTCAAGGCAATAATTACTTTTGGAGGGCTGCCAGGGAAATGGATAACTGTCAGTGAGACTGTAAACCTCAGTGGCATTCGCAATCTCTTATTTCTTTAACTGGAAACTCATGGTATTTGTAACATTTTCTCTATACTTCCTTACATCTAAGAGCATCCAACCTCAAATATTTTTCTAAGCAATTAAAATTATTCAAACTTCCCAGATTCTAAGAAATGGTCCTCAACTTTATTGAAGTAGCCATCAACCGGAAACTCCAAATAGTGAAGACCAAGTCAGTGAGATCAATCACTTTTATGTGACTATAATATGCTGACATGAAATATTTTACCACCTGGTGATTGGTTCTCTAACACAGAGGAAAGTGAGGGTGTTTTATAAACAGAACAAAGCATATGCTTTGGTTTGGGGATAAGAATGCCAGAAACCTAAAGATGGATACTTGATCTCCTGCTGGGTACTGGGGCTCCCACTGGTTGAGGGCTCCCCAATTGCCAGGCACTGTTCTGAGCACTTCCAAATGCTCTCATTTGACCCCCAACACCTCTCTTAACTATTATTACCATTCTCTCCTTTGACTCTAGATGAGAAAACAGGGGCTCAGAGGTCACTTCAATGGGAAGGGCTGCAGGATGGAGCCAGATTCCAAACTTGTGCCCTTAACTTCGGGCACTCCCACCTTCCTCCTGGCTGCCTTCATGCCTCAGTCACCAAAATGCAAATAATGTCTGACTTTCCTCACAGAGGTGTTGTCATGAAAGAAAAGAATATAAAACTATTTAAAAGGAATAAGTATTTCTGAATCCACCCCCCCACACCTCAAAGTATACTTTTACATAAATAATTCCTAAATGTAATTTCATAGTCCAAGTGTTAATGTGCATGTCTCTTTTTGTTAGGCATCTAGGTGGTATACTTCCTTCTCAGTCAAAGTATCATCTTAGTAATACTAAAAATAATTTTTTCAAAGAAGTCTTTAAACAATCTGCATAGCTGTTAAATGGCCACCCTCAGAGTTACATTGACAAATAAGATATCTTTAGCTCCACCAAAATGCACCAGGTGGCCAGAGAAAGGAAATAGTTGTAAATATAGAAATTTTGTCCTTTTATTCTGTGCTCTAAACCAATAGTCGCCAACTGGTGGTCCACGGACCACTGGTGGTCCATGAGCTCTGAAAGGTTGGCGATCGCCGCTCTATACTAACAATCTGTGGTGTTACTATAAATATTTAACCTTAGAAAAATCCCACATTAAATACTAAGAGCAAGAAAAAAGTTCCAGTGCATAATCATAACATGTGACCAAAGCATGCCTATTGTCTAAAAAGACAAGCGCGTGAGCATGTAAGTAGATAGATAATAAATTAGGGAGCTGAATCAGTTTCTGATCCTTTTTTGCACCAAGCTGGATGAAAAAAAATTAATTTAAAACATGTATTCTCATAAATCAAACCATCTGCATCTTTCAGAGCAGAAGGGGAAACTATTAACGAAAGAGCTAAATATAGAGCTCAAGGAAGGTCATCAGCCATTAAAGAGAATGAGGTCTGAAAAAACAAGCCACAGGATGGGAGAAAGTATTTATAAATCATATATCTGATAAGGTCTAGTATCCAGAATATATAAAGAGCTCTTACAACAAAATGAAAATACAATTGAAAAATGAACAAAGGACCCAAATAGACATTTTTGCAAAAATATATAAATGACCAATAAACACATGAAAAGATGCTTAACATCATTAGTCATTAGCAAAATACAAATCAAAGCCACAATGAGATACAACTTCACACCTACTTGGATGGCTATAATAAACAAACAAAAAACTGGAAAATAAGTGTTAGGATGTAAGGAAATTGGAACCCTTGGGTCTTGCTAGTAGGAATGTAAAACAGTGCAGCCAGCTAGCCTTTGTGGAAAAGTCTGGCAATTCCTGAGAAAGTTATAGAGAATAACCATTTAACCTGGCATTTCCACTCCTAAGTATTGTATATATCCAAGAGAAACAAAAACTTATGTCCATAAAAAAACATGTACACAAATGTTCATAGAACTATTTACAATAGTCAACAGGAGGAAACAACACAAATGCCCATCAACTGAGGAATGGATAAACATAATGTATCCTTAATTCAGCCATACGAAGGAATATAATTCTAACACTTGCTATAACATGGGTGGACCTTGAAGACATGATGCCAAGTGAAAGAAGACAAACATAAAAGATCATATATGATTCTCTTTGTATAAAATATTTTGAGTATGTAAATTCTTAGAGATTGAAAGCAGAATTTTATGTTTACCAGAGACTGGGGGGAGGGGTAAATGGGGAGTGAATGCTTTTAATGGTTATCAGGTTTCCTTTTGGGGTGGTAAAAATGAACTCAACGGTGGTGATATAGTAAATGCCACTAAATTATACACTTTAAAGTGCTAAATTTTTTTTAAAAAATATATCTTTTATTGATTTTTCACAGAGGAAGAGAGAGCCAGAAACGTCAATGAGAGAGAAAAATCGACCAGCTGCCTTTTGCACCTCCCCCCCACTGGGGATGTGCCCACAACCAATGTACATACCCTTGACCGGAATCGAACCCGGGACCTTTCAGTCTACAGACCCACGCTCTACCACTGAGCCAAATATTTTGTGGAAACTGGTTTGGCTTAAAGGATAGAGCGTCGGCCTGCGGACTGAAAGGTCCCAGGTTCGATTCCGATCAAGGGCATGTACCTTGGTTGCAGGCACATCCCAAGGGGGGTCTGTGCAGGAGGCAGCTGATCGATGTTTCTCTCTCATCAATGTTTTTAACTCTCTATCCCTCTCTCTTCCTCTCTGCAAAAAATCAATAAAATATATAAAGTGGTAAATTTTGTTATGTTTATTTTTAGCATATATATATATATATATATATATATATATATATATATATATATATCCTTTAAAAAGAAAAAAGAGGATGAGGTATATAAAAAGCACTAACTTGGGCAGCCAGACCCGGAGCAGCAACGGCCAGGCACCAGAACAACAGCAGCCAGAACCAGAGCATCAACAGCCAGCACTGGAGTAGCCAGACCTGGGGCAGTGGCAGCCAGGCATGAGGCGGAGGCGGCCAAGCCCAGGGTGGCCAGTCCAGGAACACCCAGACCCGGAGTGGCCGGGCCCGGAGAAGCCGGGCCCAGAACAGCCGGGGTGGGAGCAGCCAGACCCAGAACAGCAGTAGCCAAGCCCAGAGCATCCAGGTCGGGAGTGGCCAGGCTCGGAGCAGCCGGGCCCGGGGCAGCCGGGCCCAGAGCAGCCGGGTCAGGTGCGGCCAGGCCCGGAGCAGCGGCTGCCAGGCTGGGAGCGACCAGGCCCGGGGGAGCAGCCAGGGCTGGTGCGGCCAGGCCCGGAGCAGCGGCTGCCAGGCTGGGAGCGACCAGGCCCGGGGGAGCAGGCGGGTCGGGTGCGGCCAGGCCCGGAGCAGCGGCTGCCAGGGTGGGAGCGACCAGGCCCGGGGGAGCAGGCGGGTCGGGTGTGGCCAGGCCCGGAGCAGCGGCTGCCAGGCTGGGAGCGGCCAGGCCCGGGGGAGCAGGCGGGGCGGTGCGGCCAGGCCCGGAGCAGCGGCTGCCAGGCTGGGAGCGGCCAGGCCCGGGGGAGCAGGCGGGGCTGGTGCGGCCAGGCCCGGAGCAGCGGCTGCCAGGCTGGGAGCGGCCAGGCCCGGGGGAGCAGGCGGGGCTGGTGCGGCCAGGCCCGGAGCAGCGGCTGCCAGGCTGGGAGCGGCCAGGCCCGGGGGAGCAGGCGGGGCTGGTGCGGCCAGGCCCGGAGCAGCGGCTGCCAGGCTGGGAGCGGTCAGGCTCGGGGGAGCAGGCGGGTTGGGTGCGGCCAGGCCCGGAGCAGCGGCTGCCAGGTGGGAGCGGCCAGGCCCGGAGCAGCAGCAGCCAAGTCCAGAGCAACTAGGTCGGGAGCGGCAGTGACCAGACCCGGAGCAGCTGGTTGTGGAATGAACCAGAGCAACAGAGGCCAGGCCCTGAGCAGCCAGGCCCAGAACAGCTCGCTCCTTGCCTGCCCCTGCCCCACGGCTGCTTCTCAGACATGGCTGGAAACTTTCGTGGGAACTTGAGGGTCTGCTGAATCAAGTGATGAAGGCTTAGATCTGGATGTGTTGAGTTAGTTTAGGACTGGGGTGTTGATCTGTGAGTGCCTTGGGTGGGGCCTGGATGAGGCTGGTGGACCTATTGAGAAATGTCTTTTGTGTGAAGTGTATCATTGGGCATGTGGAGGTATTATTGATATGAGAAAATGCTAAGTAACTGATTTACTATCTGAAAAGGGATTTACTATTGGGGAAATTGAGGGAGGAAGAGACTGAACATAAACTGCACCTATGGATGAGGACAATGGGGGATGGGGAGGGGGCAGAGGGTGGGGTGGGAACCTGGTGGAGGGAGGAAGAAATGAGGAACCTTTGTAATAATATGAACAATAAAGATTGATTAAAAAAAAAAAAAAAAAAAAAAAAAAAAAAAAAAAAGCACTAACTTGGAAAGACCTCCAAGACATCCTGTGAGATGAAAAAGCAAGCTATAGGACCCCATTTATATTAAAATAAACAAAACCCAAACTATGTGCCTATATGTGTATATGTGCTTACAAATACACAAAAGTATATACACAATACAAGTACATCTTTCCAAGTTCGCCTGGGGGCCTAAAAAAGCAACAGGAACAAAAACTTCCATGTGGCATGGAGAGTGTGCATACCACAAGTTAAAGTGCTTCCAACTTTTCATGCTTGAAGCAGTAATTATGTAAGCTATATTAAAACACAGACGTGCCAATTTTAATAACGCTAATAAATTTAATGGCTCATAAAATGGATGTGTCAAACGATGCTAATTGCTAACTCTAGTGCAAGTCAAGAACAGTGACTCACCATTGTTCCTGCAGAGCCAAAGTTCAGCA